TTTCGCCGTGGCGCGGAGCACGTTTTGAGATCGCGAAGTCGTGACGAAACACATGACGAGAGAAACGCGGGTAGGGTCGTGGCTAAGGACATAAGAAAGACCATGAAAAACAGGACGTGAGATGTGACGGAGTCGTGTGATAAAAGCTATGACGGGAAACGGGCCCATTGTTACGACGGACGTGACAAAAGGCGTGACCAAAAACGTGACCCCAAACAAAAAAAAAACGTGACCAGAGGCGAGACGACGGATGTGACAAGAGGAGAGCTGCGACGAGAGACGTGACGAGGATCGTGGCGCGAGAGGTGCCCGAGACGTGTGAGAAGAGACGTGGCGAGGGTCGTGACAAGAGACGCGCATTTTTAGATCGCGCAGTGAATCTTTGGATGGGTTGAATTGCTTTCGCCGTGGCGCGGATTACGTTTTGAGGTCGCGAAGTCGTGACGAAACACGCGACGAGAGAAACGCGGGTAGGGTCGTGGCTAGAGACATGAGAAAGACCACGACAAACAGGACGGGAGATGCGACGGAATCGTGATGTTAGGCGCCTTGCGACACCTGATGAAAGATGTGCGAAAAGCTATGACGAATGAGGGGACCATTGCTACGACAGACGTGACACAGGACGTGACAAAGGACGTGACACAGGACGTGACCCAAGACGTGACTAGGGACGTGACCAGAGACGTGACTATAGAAACGTGACTGGAGTCGCGACGCGAGATGTGACAAAAAATCCGTTTTCGTGTCCGCGTTCGGGTTCGTGGCTTCTATCAGGTTCAGTGGTAGAAGAGCTCCTAATTTGCTCGTTGTGTGTGGCTGCCGGTCTTTGTGCAGCTGGATTGTTGTCAGGGGCTGTCGCTGGCCTACTTGTCGGGCTGATGATTTTTCGTGAAGCAGGACCTTTTGCAGGGCTTCTATTTTGCTCGCGGTGTATTTTTCCCAGCTGGATTTTTTCAGGGCCTGGCACTGGCCTGCTTGGTCGGACTGCTGTTTTTCGTGAAGCAGTATTTTTTGTTTAGTATGTGTGCGTTTGTGTGTTTGTGTGCTTGTGTGTTTCTGTGTGTGTTTCTGTGTGTGTGTTTCTGTGCGTGTGTGTGTGTCTGTGCATTTGCGTGTTTATGTGTTTGTGTGTCTGTGTGTTTTGTCTGTGTGTGTTTGTGTGTTTGTGCGCTTGTGTATTTGTGCTTGCGTGTGTTTCTGTGTGTGCTTGTGTGTTTGTGTGTGTGTGTTTGTGTGTATGTGTGTGTTTGCGTGTTTGCGTGTGTGTTCGTGTGTTTGTGTGTTTGTGTGGTTGTGTGGTTGTGCGGTTGTGCGTTTGTGGGTTTGTGGGTTTGTGTGTTTGTGTGTTTGTGTGTTTGTGTGTTGGTGTGTTTGTGTGTTTGCGTGGTTGTGTGTTTGTGTGTTTGTGTGTTTGTGTTTGTGTGTTTGTGTGTTTGTATATGTGTGTGCTTGCGTGTTTGCGTGTTTGTGTTTTTGTGTGTTTGTGTGTTTGTGTGCTTGTGTGTCTGTGTGTTTGTGTGTTTGTGTGTTTGTGTGTTTGTGTGTGTGTGTGTTTGTGTGTGTTTGTGTGTGTGTGTCTGTGTGTGTGTCTGTGTCTGTGTGTGTGTGTCTGTGTCTGTGTGTGTGCGTCTGTGTGTGTGTCTGTGTGTGTGTGTTTGTGTTTGTGTATGTGTGCGTGCTTGTGTTTGTCTTTGTGTTTGTGTGCGTGTGCGTGTGCGTGTGCGTGTGCGTGTGCGCACGCGCGTGCGCGTGCGCGTGCGCGTGCCCGTGCCCGTGCGCGTGCGTGTGCGCGTGCGCGTGCGCGTGCGCGTGTGCGTGTGCGTGCGCGTGGGCGTGGGCGTGGGCGTGGGCGTGGGCGTGGGCGTGGGTGTGTGTGTGTGTGTGCTTGTGTGCGCGTGTGACTGGGTTCTTTGGTGTTCGTGTTCGCGTTTGCGTTCGTGCTTGTGTTTGTGTTCGTGGTTGTGGTTGTGTTTGTGTTTGTGCTTGTTTTTGTGCTTGTGTGTGTGTGTTTGTGTTTGTGTCTGTGTTTGTGTTTGTGTCTGCGTTTGTGTTTGTGCGTGCTTGTTTGTGTGTGTGTGTGTTTGTCGTTTGTGTGTGGGTCTTTGTGTGTTAACGTTTTTGTGTTTGTGTGTGCGCGTCGGGGTGCGAGTCTGTGTGCGGGAGTTGGTGTGTGCTTCTATTGGCGAGTGTTGGTGGTGCGTTGGTGTGTGTCTGAGTTCGTTGCTGTGTTGGTGAATTCAGTTTTGTGCTGGTGTGTGTGTGTGAGTATGTGTGTTCCGTGTGTGTTCGGTGTGTGTGTGTGTATGCCTCTGTTTGGTGTGTGTGTGTGTGTGTATGTTGGCGTCTGTGTGTGTGTGTGTGCGTGCTGCGTGTGCGTGTGCGTGTGCGTGTGCGTGTGCGTGTGCGTGTGCGTGTGCGTGTGCGTGTGCGTGTGCGTGTGCGTGTGCGTGTGCGTGTGCGTGTGCGTGTGCGTGTGCGTGTGCGTGTGCGCGTGCGCGTGCGCGTGCACGCGTCTTGGCGTGCGCGTGCGCGAGTGCGCGTGCGCGTGCGTGCGCGTGCGCGCGTGTGCGCGTGCGCGTGCCGTGCGCGTGCGCGTGCGCGTGCGTGTGCGCGCAGTGGTTGTGTGTGGTTGTGTGTGGTGGTTGTGTGTGGTTGTGTGTGGTTGTGTGTGTGGTTGTGTGTGGTGTGTGTGTGTGGTTGTGTGTGGTGTGTGTGTGGTGTGTGTGTGTGTGTGTGTGTGTGTGTGTGTGTGTGTGTGTGTGTGTGTGTGTGTGTGTGTGTGTGTGTGTGTGTGTGTGTGTGTGTGTGTGTGTGTGTGTGTGTGTGTGTGTGTGTGTGTGTGTGTGTGTGTGTGTGTGTGTGTGTGTGTGTGTGTGTGTGTGTGTGTGTGTGTGTGTGTGTGTGTGTGTGTGTGTGTGTGTGTGTGTGTGTGTGTGTGTGTGTGTGTGTGTGTGTGTGTGTGTGTGTGTGTGTGTGTGTGTGTGTGTGTGTGTGTGTGTGTGTGTGTGTGTGTGTGTGTGTGTGTGTGTGTGTGTGTGTGTGTGTGTGTGTGTGTGTGTGCGTGTGTGTGGGTGTGTGTGCTCCCTGTGTGTTGTGCATGTATTTGTCGCAGTATGTGTGTGTGTGTGGCTCTATGTGCTTGCCTCAGTGTCCGTGTGTTTGTGTTCGCGTGCGTGTGCGTGTACCTGTACATGTGAGAGCGCGTGCATGTGCGTGCTGACTTGGCGTGTACCCGTCGACATGGCGAACAAGCGTTTGTGCTCACCGGTCTCTTCAGAATTTGTGCAGGCTGACTCTAAAGCTAGTTTCCACATGCTTTCTTTGCATGGCATGGACGGTGCACGGCAAGTGCGACATCCTTCTGTCGTTGGCCAAGCCACACCGCGAGTCACTATGCCAGCTTGCGCAACAATGTCCGCTCTGTAAGTGCAGCACGTCACCCAGGCCAAACACTGTTGACATTGCTTTGTGCTCACTTTAGACGCAGCTGGGGGGTCGTCGGAGCAGGTAGGCCATTTTGAGTCTGCCATCAGCCCGGGATTGCGACACGAACCCGGCTGTGGAGCTCAGGGTTGAATGAAGATCAGGGCATCATTTGAAGATGAAGTTTACAATTTGCTCCGAGAGCAGAACATCTCCGCGCATCCCCGAAGAACATACAACTTGTTTGTACTTGGTTCCAGGTCGTCGACGGTTGCCTCAAAGCAAGCCTAGCGCCAAGGATAAGGACAAGGAAGGGGTGGAAAGAAGGAAAGGGCCAATGCTGGTGCAAGCGGCAGCCTGACCAAGCTCAGGCCAGGCTGTGCAATCAGCCAGTGGATTTCGTGGAGGCACCTTGCACCTTGGACACCGCAGAGAAGCAGCAGCACAGCCTCGCGCCGGCATCGGTATACTCCGGATTTTCGTGTGCCCAAGAGAAAGCAACAGGTGCATGGCCATGTCTCTGGGTGAATTATAATATTTAACCGACCTGAAATGAGGTGGTTGTGGGCTATTCCCCACATAAACCACCATTTGGGGTGAGGTCGTGTGAGGTCGGTATAATTCTCCCAGATGTCTTCACAGCTCCAGAGTCTAATGCACAGTTTGCGACGTTTGCCACGCCGGGTTTCTCCGGATCGCGAATCGCGCCGGATCCGCCTTGAACGATGCAAGACGCCCTCGCTGCAAGGAACTGCCAGACTTGGGGAAAGTGAGCTGAAGCTAGCACCTGGACTCTCCATGACCCTTTAAAAATGGGTCAATGACTCCACTGTTTTGGGTCGTGGAGACTCCAGGCAGAGCAAAAGCTGATGTTCGGCCAGGCTCCTCGTCAACAAAATGCCCATCTACCAGCCCTGCCCCACCGAGCGATCACAGGGCGAGTGAGCTGTGGGACTTTGAAGAGAAGCAGCTTCTGGCAGCTTGAAAGCCGTGAGTGAAGTGTCGCGAGAAGGAGGGAATGATTTCTCACGTCTCGAAGCTTTCCTTCGCGCCCTGTCTGACTGGTGCCAGCTTCATGAACAACAGTGAATCGGAAATGCCGGAGCGCTCACGTCGTCAAGGCAAAAACGGGGGCACGGCCCTTGAAGACACACGGTCATGGAGAGTCATTGGCATCATGTGCGCCTGTTCACCAGAGTTACTCATCTGCCACGCGTGAAACACAGGCACCTGATGAACCCCTGCTCTGGGTCGAGAGCTACCGGCTTTCTGCGGGTTGCACTCTTGGCTGAGGACAGGCCCGGCGAACTGAAGACAGGCCCAGCATGGGTCTTGCAGGAGCGGGGCTGCAGCCCTTTCGCGGATTCGAGGTGCGCAGTCGACCCTGTTTCGCAAACCCTGGCGCATGGCCGCACTCGGCCTTGTTTTCCTCCCGGGCTCAAAAACGACGACTTGCTGCTTATCTCTTTGTGAAATGATGTCCGGATGTCAGGCAAGGCTCACAATCCGCAAAACTCGCAGCCGCTTGACTTGCAATCCGGGAATGTGCTTTCAGAACTTCACGCCTCTTTCATTACACCTGTAACTTGTGAGCCCATGAGTCCCAACTCGGACGCCGGAACACTCAGTTGCCAGCTGCCACCGCCGCCAGCTTGGCTGCCTTCTCCTTCACGTCCGACATGCCGCCGATCATATAGAAGGCCGCCTGCCGGCGTGAAGCTTCTCTTGCGGCACATGCGCGAGAGCTTGAAGGATGAAGGGTGGATGAGGCATGATTCTAGCGCTACCTTCCCCATTCTTTCCAGGGATCCTTCTTTCTAGAAAACCTCCGGAAACCCAGAGAAACGGCCGGTTTTCGAAAAGAACGATGGTTGGAAAGAATGGCAAAGGAATCAACCCTTAGAATTGATCGTCTCTTGATTTGCCGAAAGAAAAGAAAAGAAAAGAAAAAGAACATCACACTGGGACCTACTTAAAAGCCTGAGGATTCAAGGAGGGGGCGTGTCACTCGAGCTGAGCTCCACGGGCGCCTCCGGAATGTCGTCGCAGTTGCCCGCAAGCACTTCCTCGAAGTCATTGATCCTCAGATCTGGACACCGCGTCCTGACCTTCTCGGTTGCTTTCCGCTCCCCTGCTCAAAGTTCTCAACTTTTAGTGGTTTATATAATGGCAAAAAGGTAAAGTCCTAACATCCAAGCAAAATGCGCCTTGCTTGGGGCATCTTGATATATCTCAAAATGGGAGACACACCCGTTCTGAATGGTGGGTTTACATTTGGTCCTCTTCAACAACATGCAAAGTGGGTGCCTGATTCTAGGGAAACACTATGTTGCATCTCTTGCCTTGAAAGGCTACCAAGGTTGTTGGGTGAAAGCCAGCCGCTCAGTGCAAGCGAGCATGCACAATCTCAACATGCGCCTTCCCCACTCAGCATGATTTCCGCTCTGGCTCCCAATGCAACACGAAAAAAGAGCTTCTCCTTTCGCGATGTCCCCTGCGCAGAACCCAAACCCACCCCTCTTTCAACCCTCCGCGCCCTTCTTGCGAGTCGCCACAATACCAATTTAGACTTTACCAATACTAAACCAACTCTAAACGAGCCATTTTCCCGCCCACCCCAGCATTCTGCTTCAATTCCTTCCTCGCAAATTGCCAGTTTTGCGGGGAAGCGATGAATCAACACCTGGTATTGAAGCGGTCTGCCATTGTTGTTCGCAACAGATCAAGAGGTTTCTGGTTGGGACTGTCCCCAAACTCTCACTTCGGGCTGTGATTGTGGCTCACATCTGCGTTCCAGGCTCCCGTCAAGCCGCAGCCTTCACCCCCGAAGCCCCAAACGAACAAAGTGTTTCTTTGTTCCTCATTTGAATTCCATATCCCCCGAAGCCAACCCCATCCCCCCAGCCTCCGAAACCCCCACAAACCCCTGGAAATATATATATATATATATATATTAAAACACATGTCTAGCAGTGATGCTGATTCCCTTTACAACCAAGAAGGGAAACACGTAAAATAGAAAGATCCGTTCAGCACATGGAAGCCTTACCCAAACGAGGAAAAAAAAACAGATTCCTTTCATTCCAAAAAGGTTTCACCAAAAAGGAAGAAAAACAAAACCAACAAAAAACACTTCTTCCCTTTCAGCACCAACAAAAAACATGGCCCCCCTTTGTTTTTGTTTCTTCCTCCTTCTCCCTCGCTTCCGACCGCCGGCTCCGAGGCGCGTGGTCTCGAGGTCCACGAAGGCGCCCGGGGTCCCCGTGAAGATCTCCGCCACGAAGAAGGGCTGCGACAGGAACCGCTGCACCTGGCGAGGCGCGCCGCTCGTCGGAGTGTGGCGGATGCGAGCCGGTCGTTGGGGGATTGGGGGCTGGGTCTTTTTTCCCGGTGAGGACGAGGGAATTGGGCCTTTTGAAGGGAAGCCACGCCAGAGGAAAAAATAAAAATAAATGGGAGGGAAGAGGGGGGTTGGTCGGTCCAGTTTTTTTGTTGGAGCACCCTTGGTTTCAAGGTGGAGGTTTTTTGTTTTTGTTTCTTCGCATTTGTTGTTGGAGAATCCTTATTGTAATGGTGTCAAGACCATCTGACATTAAAGTGCCCGCAACAAAACCTCGTCCGCCTCGTGCACAAGAGCGAGATGTTTCTCGAACCGAAGCACAGCCAACAGAAGCCGGCCAACAAATATTAGTTTGGGGGGGGAGGGTGGTCATTTTGTTTGGTTGGAGTACCCTTGTTTCATGGTTTCAAGGGGGGGCGAGAGTTCACACTTGTTGTTGGAGTATCCTTATTTTAATGCCATCTGACCCATAATGCCCGAAACAAAACCTCCTCCGCATCGTGCACAGGAGTGAGATTCGTCGAACCGAAGCACAGCAGCACAGCCAAGAAAAGCCGGCCGGCTAGCATTGCAAATGCCTGAAGATGAGCAAAACATATCGTCGTACCCTTGTGCTAGTGGCACAGCACAAATGCCGCAGAGATCCCCGACAATTTCACGACACGATCCCAAGCTTCGCCGCGAAAATACGTATATGAGTGTCGGGAGCGGACACCAGGTTGGATCCTAAGGACCTCAGAGTGTGGATGGACGTCTCATGGGGAACACCCTCAAAATGATTGGTGGGCAGAAGTCCCTAGTGATGTCAAGCCAAGGGTTCACAATCAAAACTCATGCCCATGTCGCGCCTTGCGGGCGCGCGCCACAGTGAGCTTGTCTTCCTCACTGAGCTCATCCATGCCCAGGATGGCAATGATGTCCTGGAGTCCAAAAACGTTCCTTTCTTTGAGGGAACCTCAACATGGGTGGATTCCCTTTGGTGCCCTTTCCAGGCAATCCCAGAAAAACAAGCACACACGACGAAAACCCAGCCAATCGGTCCCTGCCAGTGTGTGGCTTTGCTTGCAAAACATGAAATGCTCCTGTGCAAGACGCCTGATTCTTGTTTTGAGCACCGGAAAAGGGTGTTTGCTGGAATTGGGGAGGCCTTACCGGTCGATTGGCCCTCTCCCACCTTCCCCCGCTGGTCCTGCAGAGACTTGTAGTCTTGGAGGATCTTCTGGGTGCTTCGGGCGATGTCGTAATGCCGCTGGCCCACGATGGACGGGTCCAACCTCAGTGGAGAAAATCCTAAGCGCATGAAAAAGCATTGTCCATTGTAGACACAAGCTGATGGTTCCCTCCAAGCATGCGTGCAGTTTCAAACATCCCCCAAATCGGAGAACAAACATGTATTTAATGTTTCCATTCGTGGATGTGCATCCATCGACTCCCTGTTGAAGGTGGTGGAACGTCATTTTGACACGCTAACTAAGCAATTTACTGGGAACCCCAAGAACCTGCGTCGCTACTTGTTCACCTCCATTTGTCAGTTCGCAGACTGAAGTTCCTTGACATCCCAAGCTTCTGCTGTGTTGAGGGCCACTGGTGCGGAGCCTGCTGCTTTAAGCAAATTTGGAAACCGTCGCCCCTTGTGGACACCATGCTTGAATTTCTACGTCCCCAATTTGATATTGACACAAAAGACTAGGTCCTGCAGTAGAGAGGTCAGAATACGGGTACCCTTTTTTTCTGTCTATTTTAGAAGGGGAACCCTCCCCCAAAAAAGGGTAAAAGGGCACTACTGGGGGCCCTAGAAGAGGAACTCCTTTGACAATTCCTTCAAAGAGCAGAGCGGTGGGGTGGCCACGGTTGGAACTCTCTCGCCAAGAATTGCTGCTGCAACCTCCGAGAGCAACATCCGGGCCGACTGCCTGACTCCACCGACCCAGCCATGCGTGTCAAAAACGGGGGGAACCACTTGACTCCACCCACGCGGCCATTTCGTTTGTGTCAAAATGAATGTAACCACCCCTTTAAACCACCCCTTTAAACCAACCCTTCAAACCAACCCACTTCCCTTTCCCTTTAAACCAACCTTCCCTTGGCTTCCTTCTGCTTTCCCCTTTGAACCCACCCCCAAAGACCTGCCACCGCCCCGCCACCGCCGATCGAATGAGATTTTGGGCATCCCGGGCATTCGGGAGGTGGAGTCCAGGGGGTCCACCGCCGGGTAGATCCCCAGCTCCGCGATCTGGCGCGACAGCACCTGGCGACGTGCCGTGGATGGCGGGTGGGTTCTTTATTTTGGGGGGTGAGGTGTTCCTTGTGATGACCTGTTGATTTCGGGAAAAAGCTTAAGAAGGACACCAAGGTTGGGGTACTGTATTGAACAGGTTGGGTGAGGTGGAAACAGAAAGTGGGGAGAGTTGATTACTACCTCACTTTCCATGATGAAGCTGTTGGAAGACAAGTTTTGGGGCTCCAAAAGGAAAGTGGTCTTCCAAACCCTCCGATCTTCTCAGCTGCCACTAGACGGAGGGGACGGCCATCGATGGAGCTGGAGCCCAAGGCGCCGTGGTGGCGTCCAGGTGCGCGAAGGTGGTGGCAGGAGCCGGGTCCGTCAAGTCGTCCGCCGGCACGTACACCGCCTGGGAGTTGGCAGTGGGTCAAAAATAGGGTAACCCCAAAATGGAACCCGATCGGCAAATGGAAACATGGACTAAAACCTGCGGTCCAATTCCTGGTGGTTTTAATTTTGACCCATGGGAGCTGGGGAGGGAGGGAGCTTGGAGCTGGGGGGCGGGCTGGTGATTCTTGCCCCAACACATGCAGGGAATTCGGGAATTCACATTGAAATAACTCGGTGAGGGAGGGCAATCCAAAGCTTTCGTCGGCCCTGGCCATTCTCCTTCTAACCCATCCGCAAAAAACGACACCCAACAAGGGCCCAGCACCGGAGGAAACACTCCGGCGGGTTTCTTTGTGCCTGGAGTCTCCATCTTTAAAAACGGGGTCATTACCCCTAATAATGGGATCATTGGCCCATTTTGTAAGGGTCCTTAGGGAGACTCCAGGTGGTTGCGCCTTCTCACTTTGGGGTTCAATATAACACGGTTTTATCCGGAAATGTGCCATGGGGTCAATACCCAGTGGGTGTATTCCCAGGGTGTAATACAAAAACCCTTAGATTTGGGGTAGTCACTTTGAGACCGCACCCCTTGCCTGCACCGAGGTGATGGAGCCCTTCTGCGTGGTGGTAATGCGCTCCTGCGGCCAGTCGACTCAAGAAACCGGCGGTCACGGGCCTGTGGGCCGCTCCTATCATCCAGTACCTCCTTGGGTGTTCGGCTGACTTAGCAAGTTGATGGTAACCTAGGTTGTATTATAGATCCCCCTAAGTGGAGCTAAACCTGTCAGTGGTTGGTTACAACCCAGGTGGCTAACCACTTGCTAACTTGGCCGAATGTCTAAATAGTGACTCTTGGTGGCTGAGCTGCATGTTTCACTGCATCCAGGGCCCGTGCCCCGCTCCTGCAGCGACGCCAAGTCGGTGGCCAGGGTGGGCTGATAGCCGACAGCACTGGGGATACGGCCCAGCAGGGCAGACACCTCGAAGCGGGCTCGTTGTTCTGAAAAAACAGGAAGAGGACGTCTCAGGTCTTTGGACGTGCAAAAGAAAGAAAGAAAGAAAGAAAGAAAGAAAGAAAGAGAGAAAGAGAGAGAGAGAGAGAGATAAAAATAGAAAGAGAGACAGAGACAGAGACTCAGACGGCGCAAGTGAATGACGAGAAGGGCTGATTTATGGGATACCATGACAAAGGCTTCTTCAACTCCAGCCGCAACCAGCCTCAGAGCCCGCTTGGGTGAAGCGGAAGATGTTGTCGACGAATAGCAGCACGTCCTTGCCGCATGGCTCACTGAGGCAAGTTGCAGTCAAGCCACGAAATAGCAGGAGTGAAAGCAGGTCGTTTTGAGTTGGGTAATGACCCAGAAAGGCTTGCTGATGTCTCGATGTGCAACAGTAGCACCTCTAGTGACCAAGCCGATGCCGGTCCTGTCCCTCTTCGTCGCGGAAGTACTCGGCCACGGTGAGGCCCGTTAGGGCCACCTGAAGAGGCGGCAGGATTTGAGCAAGGCTTAAACCCTGACGCACTCCTTCCAGTTGCCACTTTCATGTGGCTGCGGTTCAAAAAAACGGTACCACAAAGGAACCCTGGTAAGTGGAAACATGGACCAAAACCTGCGTAACCCCTCCTGTCTAATTTTGAGCCACACCCATGTAGGGCCCCTTTGTACCTCGTTGATGGTTGGCTGGCTCGCATTCCCTTTTCCTAGATGGGAAGCTCGCTGGAATATCCGACAACCTCGCTTTCAGGGAAAGCCTGCTGTCAGGTAGGTACCCATTTGAGGAAGGCCGCGGATCATTTGCTGGGGCCTTTAGCAAATATCCATTGGAATCTATGCAAAGTTTCTTCGCAGCGCTCTGTTGCTGCCGTGGCACACGTGCACGTGCGCCAGGGGGCTCGTTCATCTGGCCGTAGACCAGCGCCGCCTGGCCCCAGCTCCAACCCAACGTGGTTTTGTTGTTTTGTGTGTTTTCTTTTGCGGACTGGTCTCAAATTTGTTGCCGCATATCTTCTATCAACACGAAGACACCCCCAAGATTGCTAGTTGCATGCATATGCGTTTCAAACAGAACATGCTCGGTGAGGCTGCTGAAGTACAAATCCTGTTGAGAAACTGAGATATGTTACTGCTTCATGTCGGGCACGTTTTTACGCGGGCCTAGTTTCAATTATGCTTCAAAACATCTTCTACTCTTGTCTTCGGTGCTATGGGGAATATTCGGCTGCCTCCAACCTCACATGAACAAGCGTGATGTCTTTGAGCCAAATGTGCAAAAGCAGGAAGGGCATCAGGACAATAGTTTATCAAGCATGGACAAATTGAAAGCCAAAATGAGAACAGGCATTGCGGCAGCCAATGAGTCAACTCAATCCCGTGGTTTGCTCAGCTGTGGCCTCATACCAGGAACTCTCGTAATCAGTCACAATCTTGAGTACTGGCAAGGTTGGAAGAAGGGACAACCTACCAGCCCGTTCCTCTCCACGAAACAAAAAAGGACAGCAATGCGACAGAAAACGGGTGAATTGCAAGAGGGGACCCGAAGTGCTGAACATCAAAATTCGGAGATGAGTTTGCTGGAGGGAAACAACCATGGATTTGGCATCATTGCTTTGCTGATGCCACGTGCCGTGCTCACCGCCTTTCCCAACGAGTTGAAGCCCCAAAGTCATCCAACGATGTGTGACATTGTGTCTGGGCCAACTCGCTATTCAGCGTCAGAGTATCTTCCCTCCAGATCGTCGAAGTCTCGCCTTGGAGCCGGGCGCCTTGTTCTCCTTGATGACCTGAGAAACGCAAAAATCACCGCGTGCGTTCCGCCCGTGGATCTGTGCTTGAATTTCCGGAATTTGTGAGTTGCTTTTTTCTGGCCCGGATGGTTGCAATCTTCAAAATAGCCGGAGGTGGAGAGGTCTTGAGCCACGCACGGGGAAAAAAAACACGAGCTGCAAGTGTTGTGCGGCCAGTCGACGCTGGTTTCGGTGGATTCTGTACCATTGCAACTCCCAGAAACCAAGCATAGCGGATGGACGCAAAGCATTGCCCAATACAAGAGCATCACTTCGAACTGTCACCCAGGAGGGAGCAAATGCGACGGTCAGAAGCAGAGGAAATGCCACCGAAAGCACCGCTGCAAAGAACACCATTCGGCAGCGACAAACACATGTATGTTCGAAAGTGCAAGAAAAACGAACACAATTCAGCGGCGACAAAAACAAATATATGTTCGAAAGTGTAAGAATAAGGCATCACGCAAAGCTCCTTTCCCGACGGTAACATGTCGCTCAGAAACACCACGTTGCTCACGGAACCTCGCGTACATCTGCGGCTGAAAAGCGCCGGTCAAACGGGCTGCTCCGTGAAGCTGAAGCGCTGGTCAGCCCTACCAGATGCGTGGAGCGGACGGGCGGACGGCTGTGGCCGCTAGAAACATCGCTCGGTGTTGCGCAGCGCTGCATCTGAGTGGCTCAGAAGCGCCGGTCGAGCGCGCTAGCTGAGGTGTCACGCGTCGCACGAGACATCACTCAATAGATGCATTGAGCGTTGGCCAGCAACTGCTGGGACAAAAGCGCCTTCAAATGCATGGACACAAGCTGCCTGAAGATGCCTGAAGCACCATTCTTCAAGCCTCACTACACACGTCCACGTGCCAAGATGCTCAGCAGCATCACGCAAACACATTCTTCACTCTGGACTGAAGCCTGCTGTCAACTTCTGTTCAAATGGAACAAACGCCCACGCAGTGCCTTGCCTGTCACGCCCGCACGGCGTGTGAACTCAGAGGCACAGAATTGAATAAACAAATCCATGCCTTGTTAGCCAAACCAAACAAGGGCTTCTAGCACGGCAGCTGATTGGGGAGCTTCTCCAAATGGTGGACCCCCTTTTGCTCGGTAAGTATTCAAAACAAAACCAAAAGGGGAACCAACCGTTTTGGGGGACCCCTATTTTGAGAGACACCCAAGCGTCATTGCCTTTGAGTGAAACATTCGGCCGAGCCACACCGCTGGCCATCATCTCGTGGTACAAGTCATTCCCCTCACGGGTACGTTCTCCTGGCAGCAGTTGATCTACCAATAGCATGTTTGTTTACACCTGCTCGCATGCGGGTGTTCAACCAAAATAGGCCCAACAAAAAAAGGCAAGGTCTTTTTGGCATCGCTTCAAACAGCAAAATGGGGGGGGGGGGGGCGGGGGGCAAACGTCTAGCTGCCCATAGGACAGATTAGAGAAGGTGTCTTTACACGTGCAGCTTGCCAGTTGGTTTGCAGCTTGATGCAGCCGGTGTCTAAGAAAGGTTCGAATCACCTATGACGTGTGATCTGTTTTGCACCCTAGAAACAGAAAATAGGCCATGTTGCCATATTCTCCTTGAATTGGCTGTGGCTCAAAAAAGCCGGTACCAAAACGGAATCCCGGTAAGTGGAAACATGGACCAACACCTGCGGTTTGCGCCCTCCTGTTTAATTTTTGAGCCACGCTGAGCAGAGTGGTACCCTTGAGCCTTGATTTTCCCAGGCCTACGCCCGCGAAGACGCTGTAGCCGCCGTGCTTCAGCGCCTTTTTCCAAGCCAAGCGCTTGCTCTTCGCGGGTGCGCTAAATTGGAATAGGTCGACCCTGGAAAATAATTTAAGTCAAGGGAAATCGCTTGAAACAGGCATGCCGCAGGAAAGACAATTGTGGCGGGTTTGAGGGCAAGGCCCCATGTCATCAAACAAACTCACTCGCACTTAACCATGGCGCAGTATTGAAGAGATGGGGCAAATCAGCAGGCAGCTTTTGTTGCACCGCTGCATCAAAGGGATAGCTTTTGGCACATCCCTGGCCATGTGTTTTTTTCCAGCATGCAGCACTGAGTGCGGGTCGATGTTGTGGATCAGTTCCATGATCACCACCTCGGGCGAAATGCCGAACAGGGGAACTTTTCTGCCCAGTCCCCACACCTGGCAGTTCCGAGTTCCGACCGGATGACTGGCTGAAATGAAGATCCAAGAGAGGGGCTGAAATGCTTTCACACTGCCAGCTGTCCAAACCTGCTCCCAGCACATCAATACTCCTTTACCCCCCAAAATTGGTCTACCCCTTCTCCGGGCAAGCCGCCGTCTTGCCCACCCCGGCTCCGCCGAAGAGTCCGATCTTGCCGCCCTTGGCATAGGGCGCCAGCAGGTCCACCACCTGTGGGACTTGAGGCGGGTACCTTCCAACCGGAAGAGGGGCCCTCCTGGAAACCATCCGTTTCGCAGGGGTCCTCAAGTGTCGCAACCTCAGATACCTGAGGCTAGTGATGGTGGTCTGCCACATGTCCGGAGCTCTCAGCCAGGCTTGGAGAAATCCTGAAGGCTTCGTGGCTGGACAGCTGGTTGTCAAAATGACGATCCCCACCCAAAGGGAGACTTGAGGAAAGAGCTGCAATGGAACCAGTCCCCAAGAATGCTCATCTGTGTTTGACCAGCTTCTGTGTATAGTGTATTATGCCATGCCGTATACCTTGTGCCTGCAATGCTCACTTCTTGCTGCGCCATGCCTCAGCATTCCCGTTCCAAGCACCTTGGCCAAACACCTCCAACAAGCGAAGAGCTCCATTGAACACCTGAAAAAGCCGTGTGGGTCTTTTGAAAACAAGCCAGCCTGTTGGCCCCGAAATTTCGAGACCCATGTCCACGTTCCACCCCACGTCCCGGGGCCGGAGTTGGGCGCCTTGATGCCGGTCAGCAGCTGCTGAGCTGTGGTGTTCATCTCCGTGAAGGTGGGAGTAGGCCGGTGGATGGCGTAGAACCTCCGCGAAGGGACGTCGATGGAAAGGAAACTCAGGTGCCCGGTGGATTTCCATGCGAGATATTTTTGGGTTGGTGGACTTTGAAGGGGAACCTGCTCCCCGGAGAAAAAAAAAGGCGCCAGGGGGGAGGGAGAAGGGGGGATGACACTTTTGGACCATCCCGAGACTGAGATCAAAGAAGCTTGGCTTGCCCAACATCATTTACAGCATGATAAACTCTACAGAGCAAGCCAGGCAAAGCCACACTATCACGGCTCCAAAAACACATGCTCCACTCGAGTCTCTTCATAGGCTGCTTGGACTCAGACTGGCGACAATGGTAAAGCTGCCACCAAATCGGCTCTCCCGGCTGCAAAGCGCAGTCCAAGCACTTGCTGGCTGCAGAAACGCAACAAATGAACTCTAGTGTTCTATCCTGATACTGGTTCTAGGTATGGCCAACTTCCCATGCAGCCATGGTCTTGGCGCTTTGTGGCAGCTCAGACCCCGGCTTCTTCGTTTCAATGGGGCCCAACTCGTCAATCGGCTCACCGATGATGTTCATGATGCGTCCAAGCCTCGGCCAACGCGCCAGGCGATGACCGTCATGGCGTCTTCTTTTCTTATGAGGGTAGCCTTTGTGGGGTGGGTTTAAAGGCAAACCGAAAGGAAACCAGCATTTTGGGTGTGCCCCGAAAAAAGGACACCCCCATTGCGAGGGCCCAATCAAAAAACCCGGTCTTGAAACGGCCTACCCGGTTCCCAATGTAAAGGCTGGCTGGGATTGTCCCTTAAGGCTACGGCGTCTGCTCCCCGACTGGCACGGTAATCGGCGCGCCAGTGTCAACGACCTGCATGGCTTGGCGTGCTGTGCAGCTCCGTGTGAAGCGTGTGAAACCGACACCGCCGTTTTCCTTTGCTGCTTGTTGTCTCTTGCTGCCTGTCCTATTGCTATCTTCCGTTGACAAACAAAGCTCGCTCCCTTTGTTCAGCACAAGCCAAAATCTGGCGCGTATCCGGTTTCTGAGTCCCAGTATACCTGATTCCTACACCACTAGGTTGGGATTCTCGGTTGGTGCGGCTTCACGATGGGTGTAGTGGCTCCCCACAAGGGCATGCCTGATGCCTACAGGGGCAGTGTGTCAAGTGGGGCATGTACCATACGCACACCTACGCGAAGCCGACACCAAGGCCTTCTGCCCACGAGTAAGGCCGTCAGTTCCATCCATGGCAATGGTGCGCACCATGTTCTCACCTCGCCACAGGCAAGGCTGCGGCTATTGGCTTGTTACCCAGCACATCTGGAGCTCACATGCCATCTTGGCCTTGAGCATCCCTGGCTCTGTATCTTGAGGCTGACAGGGAGAACCCTCCAATAAACCAATCCTGTCAAGCAAAGTCTTGACTCTTGCCACGTTGCTTAGCACCATGCTGAGAAAACTTTAAAATGCCTGAACTGAAGGAACTAAACAATAAATATCATGCTTGAATCAACAGCTTTAAAAAAACATGGTGATTGCCAATTGGAATTCCCATAGGTTTTTTCCTAGAAAAAAGAGGCGTCGAGAAAACAATCAGAACATGACAGAAATAAAAGGACGGGAATTGGCACGAAAACCAACTTGGCCCAACTAGCCCGAAGGCAAGACACTGGACCCAAAAAGAAGAAGCAAAAAATGACCATCCCCTTTTGTTTTCCTGGTGGCTCGGTTTCAGGTCCAGGTTTCGGGTCTAGGTTCCGGCTTAGGTTTCGGGTTCGGTGTTTGGTTTCAGGTTTAGAAAGTCTTCACATGAGCTAAGGTTCTTGTCTGGGTTTCGAGTCCATGCTCAGATTTCTTAAAGGGTTCAAATTCACTTGCGATTGGTGCGATAGGCAAAAAATCAAAAATGGAATGACCCCGAGAACAACCATCCAACCGGTGGTTTCCTTTCTTCGGGGAACTCCTGGAATCATTCAACCACCTACAAACCCCGGCCATTCCAACACATCCACATCCCAATTTGCTTCCTCTAACCGGGCACCAATTCCTGGGCTCCTTCAACCCACCTTCCCATCGACTCAACGCTGGCTGCTCGATGCGTCGCTGCGGGGGCTCCGCGTCGAAGCGGCGAGGGATGGATCCGGGTCCTCGGGCCCAGGTGCTGCGCCACCTCCAGCACCAGGCGGTGCTCGAAGCCCTGCACCTGGCCAGTCCGCCCGCGCGCGAGTTGTCCACGGAAATCGCGTTTTTCACGGAAAAAGTCGCGTCTCCAGGGGGGTTGGCAAGGGGAAAACTCGGCAAAGGGGAAAATGCCGCGTTTGCTGGGTCCCAAAAAAGATGGGAGACTAGCAGCTCTCCAGCTTAGGCGGCAAAACCTTTTAAGGAGTTAAGTCAAAAGGCAAAGTCTGGCAATTTGGAGCAACAGATGTTGGGAAAGGCATAGAACACCCTAGAATCATCGTAGGCCCAAAGAATCCACCCTTTAGGAACTCTTGGAATCCGTAGCACTGAGGTCTTTGGCATGACCCTTTGACAATAAAACGATCACTCCAAGGGCCCTGAGCAGCCTCGCTTAACCTCAAAGAACTAGGTGTGCTTGTACTGATCAATGCACCATCGGTTTTGGTCTCGGTAACCCAAGGGTGCATTCTCAGTGAGGCAAACGGGATGCCAGTGACAGAAACCGTTTGATCGGTTTAAGGCAAGCACAAAGGCAGAGAGCAACTCGTATCCCATCTTTCTGGGACCAAACAAAGGCGGCATTCGCCGCCTTTCCGGTGTAGAAATATATACATATATAATGGCCGGCGCCTGTTATCATCTGACACATGTTCCAATACACAACTCGCCGTCCTCTCTTGGTGGCCACAACTCTGTTCTTTTCACAAAAGGTGACACCCATCCGTGAATGTGGTTCGAGGGCACAGCCCTGTGCCTCCAGCGCGTTCAGAATGGGCGGCAGGGCTGCTTCAAACTGCACCTCGGTCAAGCCCAAAAGCAGATTTGCGAGCTCAAGCATCCAGTGTGTCAAAACGAGGATTTCTCAAAATGGTGGTGTCATGTTGATTCCCAATTTGAACAAACAGTTCCTGGTGTTACCCGCAAGACGCGGGGTTTGCTGTAACCACACGCCCAGTATGGGCGGGGTGGGGAGAGAATGTTTACAACTGATCCACCGCAGCTCTCAACACGTGCGAAGTACGCATGGCTTGTGCAGTGCTGAGCTCCTTTGTGACATCCGGGCCGGCCTCGTATCTGTAGATTCCGATTCATAGAAACCCTCCAAACATATTAGAAGGACCGAAAGGATCCTTCAAAAACCACAATCAAAAACAAACAACCATCAAAAACATATACAAAATCGAACCCCGCCTCTCAGACGAGAACACCGCCACGGCGGTCACCGGCCCGGTCCTTCCCTCTCGGGCCCCCTGCATCCACCACGGCGCCGATGACCTGCGAGACCTTGCCAGCGCTGGCCGCCGGGGCTGCCGCCTCGGAGCCGATTTGTCCGGCAAAATCCGCCAGTCGGGAACGAAGGAACGGCTGGGAAGTTTGAAGGAAAGGCAAACAAGATGAGCCTGGTGTTTTTGCGGCTGTTTTCTTAAGGCTGGTTTCAAGGAAAATTTAAAGGAACAAAAGAGTCTGGGGCCCCCCTATCTTGAGACATACCCATACCCAAATGCAAACGCATCTGGGGAGTCTCTCCAACTGATGTCCCTGGTGTCAGTACAATTTAATTTGGTGAGGGGACCCCATCTAATCCTTTTCACGGCAAACGTGAGCATTGCCAGCCAGGGCTTGCCCTTTCCAATCCCGCAACCCCTTTAAGGGACGAATTTGTGAAAACCTGTAAAAACTTCCTTGAAGGTGCACCTGCCTTTCCTTTCTGACGGTCAGGGGTTCTGGGTCCCGAGTGTCTCATTTCCCCCCCGGAAGGCGAGGAGATCCCTCGGCCCCTCCCCGTGGCTCCGCGCCGCAAAGGCCCGCGGCTGCACGAGGCCGCGGGCTGCCTGCGGACGCGTCAGGGGCTCTGAGCCTCGCTGTGCCTCAAATGAAGCGTCCTGGGGCTCGGTGGCTTGCCTACATCTGGACTAACCACCAGATGCATGTAGACCTCATCAGATTCAAGCCGCGGAAACCATCAGCCCGACGGTCAACAAAAAAAGGGTCCCCTTTGCCCGTGTGGTTGAAATCTAGCGAGTCCCATGTCCCTCCCGAAACCGCACACAGTTTCTTTTCGCCGGACCAGCTATTCCTGTGCTCCGTCACGGGCCTTCAGCGCTGATGGGAAGGCCCTCATCGCGAGTCGCCCCTTTCGATTCAGAGCCCGCAAGCTGCGCTGGAGCTGGCGGGTCGCTGACGGATCGCAGAACCACCCTTTGCCTCTGACTCTGTTGTGAAGGAAACCAAAAGGACGCAAACCAAGGACGCCTCATGTTGGGACACAGGTGTGCTAGCACAATGTTTGGGGCAAAAACCCACAAAAGGCAAGCCGCGGTCGGAGGGGCTTCCATTGCCTTTTTTGGCACTTCTCTTGAGTAGAGCGTTGTTTTGGAGTATCGGTCCTTTCTGGCAGCCATCCATTTTCCAGGGGACTCTCTGCGAAGCTCACACCATTTCCATGGCATGCCAGCCGGTCTGGCCACCAGGACCTCACTGATGGTGCATTGGCCTGGCATCCATGGGGAAGCAGAGCGAGCAGAGCGGTCCGGATCCAAGTGCCAGATGCTGGCATGGCTCGGCCAATCGCCATGCAACCTGGCCAGTGGTTCTCTGATAGTTACCGCTGGTCGGGTCAAAAACAAAAAGGAACGCCGTTGAGACCAAGCCATCCTGAACTATTCTAACCCCACCAACTCCAATTCAATCCTGAGGCTCCCATTACCTGTAGCTCTAGGGAGACTACCGGAACGGGCCAAGACTCCCCTTTCGGCCCCTGGGCACCCTGCCACTTGCCGTGGCGTTAGGAGAAGGGTCATGGCGTTGCTGCAAAGGTCCACAGGGCAGACCCAACCTCAGAGTCACCAGAGGCAAAACCCGGCCATGGGTGCGTTGCAAGGCCCATGGTCCCCTGTCTCATCGCGAGCGGTGAACCAGCATGGCAGTGGCTGCACAAAAAACGCGGCCAGTGTGTCCCACATCTGGGCCGCGGGCGCGCTCCGCTTGCTTGGTGTCGTGTGTGGCCATGATGATGCCGCAGTCCTTGCCTCGCAACGTGGCAAAACGCAAAACACGGAGACTGCGTTGCTCTTTTTCTTCTGCGCCTGGATGGGCCTGAGTGGGGCCGGGCACGTCCCAAGCGGAGTCAGCTGGGTGGCTTGCTGTTGCCCATGTGCTGGAGGCAGGAACTCATCAGAACTAGATACCGTTGCTTTGCGTGGCTGTATGTCAGGCTTGTTAGAAAAGGTGAAGCTTGGTGGAGAACAGCGAAGCGCACCTGTCTTCCGCTCTTAAGAGCAAATGTGAAACCAAGCGAGCTCCAGCCATTAATCCCTTCACTCGATGGCTGGCGCCTTTGCCATCTCCTAGGCCTTCGCGCCCTCGCTGATCTGGAATCCCAAACTGCCGTGAGTTGCCGCGTTCTTCACCCCCTCAGCCAGTGAAACACAGCACCCCGGCCGATTCTACCGCCGCTCACATTGATCGTCACGTTGGAAACCGTCTTCAAGGCTGCGGTGCCTTGGCACCGGCAGCGCCGATGTTTTTCAACGCCAGCTTGATCTCTGACTCGACTGCGGGCACAATAGACTCGACGGAGAGGGGGAGCAGGCTTCAGAGCCTGCTGCCCCGTCCATTGTACCCCAAATCGAGGAATCGAGGATGGCGACAGCGGAACTCTTCTTCAGCACAAGGCCTTAGCACTCTGAATGGCCAATGCAGTCGCCCCCCAAAATGAGGACGGTGACTGTGGTATTCTGGGCTGGACAGCGGCACCTGCGTGTATTCCGAAAGCTGGGCCAAGGTCACCTGCCAGGGTGAACCAAATGAAGCTTCTTCTTGCGTAACAATCCCCTGCTGGAGTTCTCCACCACATGCAGCGGAAAAGCTCTCTGCCAGCCACGTTCAGTGCACGCGATGCAGCTTAGGCAAGCTTGAGCCACTCTCCCTGGAAATAAGTTGGTCATGGCTCTCTCAATCGGTTGAGTCAGCAATGATCCGATATCAACACCTTAAATGCTACTCAAAGTGCGAATCATGCAAGACAAACTTGGCCAGCAAGCTTGTCAATGCTCATCACACCTCTATTGTCATGCAGGGCGGCTTATCTCCCAATGCTGCCTGTGACAATCCAGTCCTGAGTAACCCTCAAAACAGCTCAAAATGCCAGTCCGAGCCTTCCTGCATTTTCCAATGGTCTACATTTTGTGCCTGATTCAGGAATTTAGGTTTGTCTCCAAATGGGGAACCCCCCAAAATGGGTGAGCTTTCCTTTTGGTTTCCCTCTACACCCAAAAATGGTACCCTCAAAAAACAAACACACACAATCACACACATCAGTTTCCCTCTACTTGGGTGGCTTGGTAAGGACATTCTCCCATTTACCCTCTACAAGAACGGGGCCCCTTCAAATCCAAACCCAATCCAAGCCACTTAGGGGATACCTGAACCGACACATTTGGGACAGGTTGCGCCTCTGCTCTTCAGTGTGGCTTCCACCAATTGCTTCGAAGCCTGGCAACTGCGGAACGACATGAACAGAGGCCAAATATTTGGCCAAGGAGAAGGAAACCAACATTAAACCAAAAGGGGTTGGTCTCCTAGAAATGGAGAGGATGCCCTCAAAACAGACTTGTCTTTTAATCTTAGAATACCAACAAGCCAGAAAGGATATGCTCAAAAAGGGGCTCGCCTCTTTGCCCTAGGGCTCCATCTCCACCGAACCCGGGGCCCGCCGCGCTCGGCGCGGGCCTCGTCTAGGGCGCTGGTCGGCTCGTCCAGCACCAGACACGACGGCTCCGTGGCCAAGCCCTCGGATGGGAAGGGAAAAGGTGTTTTTTTTCTTCTCAGAAACACCGTGTTTTGTGGTGTTTTGCATGTTAAAATCACATCCCCACCAACACCCGGTCTCCAGATTTATTTATTTTTTTTTGGGGGGGGAGGGGGAAGCACCCTTTTTCATGTTAGCTTAAAGGAGACAACACGCAAGGCGGACCATTTTTTTGCGCGGTCCCGTGTTTTGAGAATACCACAATCGCCCCTTCCCTTCCCCCCTCCCCCCGAAAAAAAAATGCACACACACACACACATAAATACAAAAAAAAATCCGACCCAGAGGTTGGACCGGGCGGGACCCGGGCGGACCAACCCAACTGCATCGAGGCCCCCGGCAATGGCCAGCATCATCCGCTGCGCCTCGCCCCCGGAGAGCTCCGACCAGGGCCTCGTCGCCGGGGCTGCGGGAAGGGGGAGGGGTCATGTGGGCTCGGGTGTGTGGGGTGTGTGGGGGGTGAGGGTGGGAGGGTGGGAGGGTGTGGGGGATAAGGGCTAGGTGAACACATCACATTGATGAGCATGACGAAACGATGACTCAAACTTGGCGATCAGCGTGGAAGCAAGTTGAACTGCCTGCCTTTCTGTTTGCAACTGCTTGCCTCTTCAGGCGAAGCAACGGGTTGGAGAAAACCTGAAAGTGAGGCAGGTCAGATCCATCTGACAGCCGACTGAGCACGTCTCCGCTCCAGAAGGCGCTCATCTAGGCCTCGGGGGGCAGGATATTTAAGTCAGGCAAGTGGGAAGTGAACACAAGCCATCCCGGATCCTCTCGAAATGGCCGCTCAAAACATGGAACTCCCAAAATGGCACCTGGGTAAATGGAAACAAAGACTAAAAACAATCCTAGCACGATTTGGAGCCATACCCAAATAGCACCGAGAAACCTCAAGGAGCACGGCTCCGGGGCGAACGCCTCAAAGGCATCCCACTCATCTCCAGCTGGGGTCTCCGGCCTACGGATGGCAGCAGAGGCCTAGGCACGCGCAAAGGCGCGCCCCGCTTCCCGCAAGTTGAAAGGGGTATGGCTCAAAAACCTGTACCAAAATGGAACCCTGGTAAGTGGAAACATAGACCAAAACCTGCGTAACCCTAGCTCTTGAATTTTGAGCCACTGCCAAAGAAACCCCGGCAGTCTCCCCTGACAAGGCGCGGCCCCATGTTGAATCGAATGGGTTTTTGAGTCCAGCTGGCTGCCCCAGTGGAGGGATTGACCCGGGGAAAATCCTTCAAATCCCCTGCCGAGGCGTCTGCCGCACTTGCAGCTGCGGTCGGTCGTGGTTGGCACGCAGCTTCCCCAGGCTCTGCGGCTTCAGACAAGGCGCGGAATTGGTCGGTGATCGCCCAAAATGAGTGGTTTCCCTTTGGTGTTCCTCAAAAACCCAACCAAAAGGGACCTCGGGACCCCCTAAAAACAATCTAAAACTGACACACCCAAGTATCACATGTTGTCATGATAGTTTCCTTTCCTTTCACCACCTGAGGGGGTTCCCAACTCGGAGACAAATCCAATCTTTTCAAATCATTGCAAAGCACCCGGAAATCAACTGCCATGGCCTGGATGAAGCTGTGGGGTGTACCAGGCAGCGGTGCCTTGATCTGGTGCAGGTACAGCACCTCCCAGTCAAAAGGCAGTGCTCCAGCATGTAAATACTACTCCAAATACCAGTTGTTTTCCTTTTGGGGGGATATCATGTCAACCTTCCACTTTAAAAGGAGGTATGAAATATAGTATGTACCATGGAAAACCAAATGAATCATATTCTGTGTTGGGACTAGGGGGTATCTCTCAGCACAATGATTCTGAGCAAGAATCATGAGATCGTTACTGCCCGTTTTGCTGCTGTGCCTGTTGGATTCTGAGAACCTACATCCTCAACCGTCACCATGGGAGGATTCGCAACACAGTGAATTTGCGTTGAAAGCCTGTCGGTTTCAAGGGGTGCCCGACACGCCTAGCCACAGGGGGCTGCCTGGGCCACCCTGCTGGGTTCCAACATGAAGCCATTTCTGCTGGTACTTGCCCATTCCGAAACATGTCTCGATTAATATGGGGCCCCACTCGACTGGTCTCTGCCTTGCTGCCCTCTCAACATCCAGCCTCTCGACGCCACTGTTGAGGCCTCACTGAGATGGTCATCTAGGGGGTGCCTAACTTGAGCCATGTTTTGGTTTGCATTCGGAGGGAGATCCGCTAACTGGCTTCTGAGTATCTCGACAAAGGTCACCCCGCAAATCCGCCAAATGCTGAGTCGAAACTTGCAGCTCGCGGTCGAGTTCGCATCGCCCGCTGATGATAGCAGTTCTGCACAGCAGGTGCCAAGTGAGCCCGGCGAAAAAGGGACTCTTTGTGGCTGGGTCCCTTTTTTTCCGTCGCGAACCAAATGGCCATGGGTCAAAACCCCGTACCCCCCGTGAACATCCCAATCCCCACTAAAATAGACTTAGATGGGTGGTGCACCCATCCCAAAGTGGTACCATTGCTTTTGAACCATGGCCAAATGGCAACGCGTAAACTCCCGGAGCTCCATCCTAAGCGCGCTGCGCCATGCGTCTGCTGTCCTCTCCGCCCAGGCTCATCCTGCGATTGCGGTGATTCTACGGGCGACCCCTTGGCCCCTGGAACGGGTCAAAAATCAACCACCCGGAATTGGACCGCAGGTTTTAGTCCTTGGTTCCAGTTGCCCGGGTTCCATTTTGGGTACCTATGTTTGACCCACAGCCAGCTGACAACCTTTGAAAGTGACGCAAGAGCCGTCAAATGAACTGCTCGATCTCAGTTGACTCATGTTATGTTCGACTCGAGGAATTTCCAAGAAGGAAGCGTCATGGATCATTTTATTTCCCGTACCGTGCCCCCGCCCCCCCCCTCACTCTGCATGACAGGGCAGCGTGCATTCCCCCCACCACTCCCAGGCTCAGTCTTGGAGGCACCCGAGGAGGTGAGGTCGGCAATCCATTTCCTTGGAGAATCCGCACGACTTTCTATCCAGACTCTTCAGAGGACGTGTCCTTCAAAATTCTCGACGAGACTCGGTACTCTTTTTGGGCTTGAAGTGGAAAGGGCAACCAAAAAGCAAACCAACAATTCGAGGTGATCCTGCAAAACAAAGCACCTTCAGATTTATGTCCACCCACCGCTGTTGAGGACAACACCTGAAAAAGGCCCCTCAGAGGCCAGCGCAGCATGGTGCTTTTGCCCACCCCGCTGGCGCCCATGACGCAAAGCACCTGAACAGCTGTCAGCTTCCTTCAAACGGCTGTCAGCTTCCTTCAAATTGGTGGTTTGGTGATTTGGACCTTAGGGGGGTGGTGTTTGGCCCCTCCAAAAGTGGCCTGGTTCCTCACTAAAACCAGGGACACCCCCTTATTAAGAAGCTGGGGTCAACTTTAGACAAGCTCTGCCAAATTCTGATCTGCGGAAACGACAAAATATCGCTATTTATGTGTAAATGAAATACTGTACCATCCTTATAAAGGAAGATCCTGTATCGTAGCTCAGCTCATGTTGCCCCCTGCCAGCCAATCTCCCTATGTCTTGTTTTCTTCTTTTTCGGACCCCCAAAATGCCTTCAAAACCACCAAAAGACCGGGGGAACCAACTCCAAAAAACAACAAGACGAGCCACCCAAACGCTCCCAGGCGAGGTGCACCTCACCAGCACCCACTTGCAATGCCGCCTGGCAGGCAAGAGACGCCTTGGGCTGTTTTGATTCGTGTGAAGTTGGAACCAGCCGCAAATTGGAAGCCTTACCGCAGGCGTTTGGATTCGTTAAAGTTGGAATCACCTGAAAAGTGGCTGGACACACATCCCCGATTTCTGCTTCATGTCCACCATGTTGGGTCTTCAACATCTTGGTCAGCACGCATTCTAGGGCTACCTTCCCCATTCTTTCCAGGGATCCTTTTTTCCAGAAAAACCTCCGGACACCCAGAGAAAACGGCACGGTGTTTGGCAAGAACGCTGGCTGAAAAGAAGGACAAGGAATCAACACCCCCGACGGGCTGAATGAGATCAGACCTGAAAGGGGGAAGGTGGGAAGGTACTTCAGGTGCATCAAACCCTAGAAGCATGGCCCCCGTTCCTTCCCAAAAGCCCCTTCCACCCACCCCCCCCCGCCTTCAAAGGCCGAGGCCCCACCTGGCCGTCCAAGGCCAGGTCCAGTATCCTGCGGCCTGGCTGCTCGGATGCGCGCGACATCGGCTTCCCGGGATCCTTGATTGGCGTTTCAGCCAAAAATTGTTTTGATCCCAAACAAGTCTTAAAACATACACCAGCATTGACCCCAGATAGCACCAGCCCATCAATCTCACATTGTTAGAAGTTAGAACCCCGATAGCTTTCAGCTCTCTGGGGAAATAAGCAAAGCTCTAGGGATTGATTCCCCCATTCTTCTCAACCATCGTTATTTTCAAAAGCCAGCTGTTTCCCATGGGTCTTTGATGGTTTCCTGAAAAGCAGGATCCCTCCCACGTAAAACTGCCACGACTTCGGAGCTGCGAAGTCCAGCCGTTGGAGTCACAGCCATCAGACGCCTCCAGTGCTCTTCTGCCAGCTTTGCTGCAGCACCAAAGGGGTGCCACAGCGCTCGGCCCTCAGACAAAACGACTTGGGGTCTTGAAAGTAGGGAGCCCCCCCAAATGGTTTGCCTTCCTGAGGGTTTCCTTAACCAAAGAGACGGGATATGGGTACCCTCAAAAGACAGAGACTGTTTAGACAACCAGAGGTTAGCAGAGTGAAGCGGTCAGAAGCCTGGCTCCCGATCTGTAAATGTTCAGCATTTGGTCTGGGCAAGTGGTCAGCAGCCCCCAGTTGACCCACGCCGACCCCTGGCAAGTAGGGTGGGGCCACCCATTGGTTTAAACATGTTTAAACCACCGGTTATGATGATTCTTTCCTTGTAAAGGTGGTGTTTAAACCATATGTTGCCCCACCCCGCCGGTAAGCTTCCTGCAAACCCTTGGAATTCGCGTAAGCGGTCTGCCAATTACATGTTTGCTGTCCCCGAGGTTGGCGCCCGGCCGGCAGAGACTCGGCCTGCGCCAAAAAAAAGGTCCGGTGGCAGTGGTCAAAGGGGCGTCAGCGTTTTGCGAGTGCTTAATCTTGCTCATATCCAGCAGGAAACAAACTCATAAATCATATAAGTCTAAGCTTTATAGGAAGCAAGGATGCCATTGAGTTGGGATAAAGCCGATCCAGCGAAGATCGAGTCGCTGAGTTGGTCTTTTCACAAGCAAGCGACGCTCTGACCGCCTGAGTGCAGTGCGGTGGTCAGGTTTTGCCTTTCCATGCGGTTGCCATGTTTGAAGCCTTATCCCATCTAGGCCAGCCATCAAAAGAGGCACGGGCGCCCAAGTTTGCACGTGCCAGGTCGGGCAAGGCATGAGCCATAGCTAGCCAGTCGTTGCTGTGTCGACCCAAATTGGCCAGCCTGGCCGGCCGCTTTGGGCGTCCGAGACGGCCATTTGCTGCAATCCAGCCTAAGAGTTCCCGCCAGGGTTGTACCTTTTGACTACCCCCCAAAAGAGTTAAACCCAGGGGTGGTTGATTTTCCCTAAAAGCAAACCCCCTGGGTTTAAGTCTACCTTGGGGGAGTCCAAAAGTAGAACCCTGGTTCACGCAACATGCTCACTGTGGGGTTTGTGGGCACATTCCTCATTGCTCGGGGAGGCGGTCTGAAGGCACCTGACTGCGATCGCAGTCTCTTCACACTGTGGATGGACAAAACCCATTTCGCACCGGATTGAAACCATGGGAAAGCATTGATTGTTGGTATTTACAGGGGAACCATCATTCCAGGGATTCTTAGGTGGTGCAGGATTTCGTCCATCCACAGTAGGGCGTATGATTTTCTGCCAAAAAAAAAACATGGCTGATGCACCACTTGCCCATACTTCCCATGACGAATCCCTTGGTGTCACCCAAACCACCCCCGCTACTCATCCACTCCACTCGGCTCGGCTAATTTCCGAGCTGGGAAGCCGGCAGTCGGGAGATGTTCAGCCGTGACTGCGGCTTGACCTTGCAGCTGACCCATCTGGCTGTGGGTCAAAACCCATGGGATTCCAACTTGGGGTAGGTGCACCACCCATTTTAAAAAGTCTATTTTAGTGGGGATAGTCACTGGGGGTACGGGCTTTTGACCCACGGCCATCTTGGAACGGCAACTCCCAACGAACGATGTGCTAACAAACTGTCGCGCGTTTGCGGATGGAAAGTGCCAGTGTCCGGTTCCCCTAATTCATCGCTATTTCGGGATTTACCAAGAACCAAAGAGGCAAGTCAAAGGCAACCTAGCCAAACCCTGTTGTTGCTTCCCTGTTGAAAGCATGCCGCTGACGGAGACAAGCCAACGCCCTGAGCCCCACCCTCCATTCCCAAAAAAGATTCACCATGCCGCATCCTACACTGTTGCGCATATTCCTTTGTGCCTACCCCCTCTCGCGATTGAGGATCAAGGGCGTCCCCGGCGGCTCCGTGCGCCACGACTTTGCGATCCTTTTTCTTGCGGCACAAACCAAGGATGTGACCCGTTAGTGACCGTTCTCAGCTTGTGACCCATATCCCGTGGGGCCCGTGGCCGAATCATTCGGCATCTAAAGCGCGGCATCTCTCAGCCCGCCTCGCTGTCGTCGTGCCGGCCCCTCGGGTCAAAGAAGGCCTGGATGGTGAAGACCTCACTTCTGAGCGCGAGACGGCGGGCATTTCCAAAGCAACTTGGCCAAAGCTTGGCCGTGCCGCACACAATTCCAGCCCCCAACACCAGCTCTTGGTTGCTTACTGCAGAAACCCAAGCTGGAGAGTCCGAAACACCAAATCCCTCAAATGGTTGCGGGTCAAATTCAGGGACACCTTTGGAGAGTGGCAAAGGGAAACCGCTACGACTCCCTACCTCCGACTTCCCGACCTCGGGTCGACCATGCCTTCCGCCAGTCTCGGGGCTGGGCACAAATGAGGACCACCGCCGCGAAGGTGCAGCCCGCGATGAGGAACGTAATCACCTGAGGTCACCGTATCTGAGCCCAACATGCCCCCGGTTCACCTGATGGTCCTCCAGTTTTGGAGGATAGAATAAGGGTACCCGATTTCTTTCGGAAGTCTATTTTAGTAGGGGAACCCTCCCCAAAAAAAGGGGAGAGAAAGGGCACTACTGGGGGACCGAGTTCACCTGATGGGGTTGAAGATGAGATTCGGGGCCTATCCGATCTCCGGCGACACGCAGCGGGTTTTCCGGCAAGGCAGGTTGCCGGGAGTTTGCTTGCGGGTTCTGGCAATGAGCACGAAAGCGGGAGAAACATCCTATGCCTTCATGATGCTTGTAGGCTCCGCGAAAGCTTCGGAATGCCGCACCATGAGGCATCATGCTGCTGCGTGAATCTGTTTGGGCTGCGGTTCATGTCTATTCTAGCGCTTCTTGCGCGGCAATGCGCATATCCCAGGAAGATTCAATTGGCCAAGCACAGAGCAAAACAGAAGTGGTTCTTGCATTTGGGCTATCTGGGGATTGGGTGACGACTAGGAACCCTGCGTGCATCGCGCTTGCCGATGCAATGTGAAACCAAAGTGAAGAAACCACGAGGAAACGAAAGGGAAACAACAAGAAGGAAAACGAAACGGAGATCGAAATCCGGGCCACGCGGCGATCTGGTAGCGTGCCGCCTTCATGGGCGGGGCCCCGCCCAGGATCTGGCCAGTCCTGAACCGCAATGGATCTCGGGACAGCTTGTCCGATTTGCTTTCTCAGCTTGGGACAGTTTGTCCCAAATGGCGAGCCAAACGCAGAGGCTCCGTACAGGGCCTGCTAGAACCAACGGGAAAGGCTGGTCAACATGAAAAAACCATGCCCCCAAAACGCTCAGAGCCACCAAACCCTCTCCCCATTTCTTCAAATCCATCCCAAACCGAACCGAGCTAGTGTTATTTACCTCCGTGGGGTGGGGTGGGTGGGGGTGGGGCTACTATGCTGACGTCAAGCTCGGGACTCCATCTCAGGTCGGCTTCCTCTACCACAAACTGATGTTGCCCGAGTCGAATCGGCCCCGAATCGACGGACTCAAATCTGCGCCGGGGCGCATCATGCCCGGGATGGACACCAGGCCCACCACGTTCATGCCATTGATCGCCGGAATCAGCGCCGCCTGCACACTCTTCACCTCAGAACATCCGCTTCCTTCCAAACCCAACTGGTGTGGCCCGGAGGTTCGGAGCTGAGCTTGGGTGGCTTCGTTTCCCATTTGTTTGTTTTTTTCCAAGAACCAGGTCAGCTCCTCAAGCCAATCCCAACCCATCCAAACCACCAGCTCCAAGTTGACCTGAGAAAACTCATCCATCTGCTCGAGTGTCTCTCTCCGATGAGGCATCTGGAACTTGGATTGGTGAGATTGGGGCCGGCTCCAACCGGCGGTGAAAGCTCGAGACCCTTGAACAAATGGTCGCTATGTCGTTTGGTCCAAGCCAAAAGCCATCCCAAGAAGGGACCCAAGGAGAGGCTGCCAGCTGCTTGACACGCGAAACGCCCCGTTGCTCTCATTCCCTTGCCCCAGTTGGCCATTCTCGGCTGCAACTCCTGTTTTGCCCTTTGGGCGGGTAATTGTCGCCCTCCAAACTGACTCAGATCGGCAGTGGCGCGACCGGGCTCTTCTCCTTGGACTGAAGCCAATGCAGGGCCCCCTTGAATGCTGATCCATAGAGCGAAGAGTCCAGTACCGAAAAGCTGGCGTGCGACCAGAGTCGATCCGGCGTGCATGCCGCTTGCACTTTCCCCGACAGGGAAGATGAAAACATCCCATCTCGCTTCACAAACTGCTCACAAGTGTTGCACGCAAAAACGAAGTGGGGTGTGCAGCCGCAAATCTCCGATCCAAGTCTCCCCAGGAACATGAAAGCCATAGGGCGGTTGCCCTGCCGCAACTTGCATCGCAAGTTCCGCCCGCCGAGCGTCACACACTCCCAGCGGCGAGGCGGCGTAGCTGAAGATTGGCATGGGGGAGGTGGATCCATGAGATCAAATTAAAACAACTTGTCCGACCGAATTGGAAAGTTCGGCGTTGACATCATCGCTCGCCAGTAAAGCGATTGATGAATATGTTGTTTGAGGATATGATACTGCATCTGATCATGTATATTTTGCTTCTGGATTCCCTCATCTGTTCCTTTGTGCGCGAACTGCCGCCACGAAAGCGCATTCTGTGCAATGCGCGGGATTGGGCAACCATCAAGAACGCGCGTGTCTGTACATAGTCCGCGTCTGTCTACTCCTGCATACACGAAGGAGTCATTGACATGCATGGGTCAAGATGGTGCTTGAGGCCAGGAAATTGTCAATTTCAATGAATAAGGTCGGCACGGCCAACTCTCTTGAACGACCCACTGGAACAGGGATTATCACAGCACCTGGCTTCAAAAAGTTGGTTTTGGCACCGCACACCGCGCGCGGCCCGCGCAAGCTCGTGGTATCCTGCGCGACCTGGCAGGTCACTTAAACCCCGAAGGACACCAGGAAGATCTCAAATGGGTGACCGTCCAAGGCCAGTCCCAGCGACTCGCCCATCCGAAAACGACTGAAACGCTTGGCCGCGCGGGTAAGGCCTGAAAACTCTGGCTTGGAAGACCTCTGTACCCGAGCTGACCGTTTCTCAGCTTACAAATCCGAGGGCTCGCCTCAGGCGAGGGCTCAGTACCCCCTCCAGGGCTCATTCGGCACTGGCAGCGGCACCCACGCCAGGTCGGGGTCCCGGGAGTTGGGCGCCGGGTCGTCGTCCGGAGGCTTGCAGCAGAACTTGCCTCAAGCGCTTACGTGCACAAACTTTAGATGGCTGGAGCTCAAAAACGTGTACCAAAATGGCACCTGGGCAAATGGAACCAACAACTAAAACCTGCGTAACCCTGGCTCTTTAACCTTGAGCCATGCCCAGATTCGAGGCGCGAACCTAGCCCACGGGCATGTGCTAAAAGAGTACCTGTTGGCCCAAAGGAACCGCAGGCCAGGTGTCATGGAATTCATAACGCAGATAGATTTCTACACTTGCACGGATTAGGAATGGAATTTGACAGGTATGATAGGCTAGTTCGCCAGGCGTACTCGAAAGAGCCGCAGCACGGGAAACCCTCCGCGGTCCCCCCGGTTTGGCCCTGGCGCCGATCAGCGGCAGCTCGCAGCACTGCAGCGGGAAGTTGGCGGCCCCTGGCCGGAGCTCTCGAGTGGACCACCCGGGTTTCCCAATGCCGGCGTAAATCACATGGCCATGGGTCAAAAAAAAACAAATCGGTTAGCCCCCAGTGAACATCAACCAATCCAACCACTAAAATAGGTTCTAAAATGGGCGGCGAATTCATCGAAAACCAACCAAACTGGGATCCCAAGACGGTTCTGATTCCGGCCCTGTGCCAAAGCTTGGTACCGAGCCTCCGAGGCTCCGAGCCGATTCGGAGCTCGGAAACGGTCAGATCAAGGGCGTAACAGAGAGCCGGTCGAAACGAAGCGACATCTTCCGCTTCTGTTTCGCCAGGGAGAAGAATTCAGGGCCTTTTTTCGCGTGCAAAGCGACCTTCTGCCCCGCCTGCTTTCCAAGAATGGCCGGAGGGGCCTTGAAGAATGGCGTTGCTTTTGAAAATGTGGGGCGGAATTCTGAAAGGGCATGCCTTGCATTTGGTTTGACTCTCGAATCAACCCAAAAACCAAAGACTCCGAATGCTTGGTTGCTGTTGACCCCCCTGCAAAAAGTGAATATTTTTTTGGGGTTTAGCGGAAAACCCAACTTGATTTCAACCAAAAAGTGTTAAAGTCTAAAGATCCAACCCAGCAGTCAAGAATGCCCAAAAAACCAGAAGCTACCTTTGGCTTGGTGGATAAAGAGGCCTGTGGTGGATGCAGCTGCTCCACTTATCTCCCTTCTGGGCTCTGCCCACCACCGGACCGCCAGCCTCCATTGCAGTCGAAGTCGTCCTCGCAGCTCTCGGGCATCGACGGCATCCACTCCTGGGCCGAAAAGTGCGCAGGCATGCGCTTTTTTGGGATCCAACAGGATTCCAGGCAAAGAATTTGGGGTTTTAATGTCAAAGTTCCTGAGTTCACCTTTGAAGAGGCTCCTTTTTTAGAGGTTCTCAGAGGCTTCCAGAGCTTGAAACTCTGAAATCCCAAAGCTTCCAGGATAGCCTCATCTCCAAATGCCCAAAAGGCACAAGTCGCGACTCCAAACCCCGCTCCTTCAATCCGCTCTTCAGGGCCACCCGCTCACTTTGACCGGAGTGGAGCGGCAAGGTTGCGCCTCACATGGAGTCTGTGCATGGCTCGCACGAAAAGAAAACACGTCCCGTGAGTCGTCTGGGAGAGGTTGATGCTAAGCACTGAAAACCTCGTCCACTGGGCAGAATCTGAAAGGGCCAACGGAAGAAATACCCTTTCTTTGTTGGGCAATCAAAGTTGAACACTCGAAAGAAACACTTCGAAGTAGAAATTTGCTTGTAAACTTGTAATGGCTTGCCTGAATTTCACCTCAAAGGCTTTCACTCAAGGAAGCACTGCGGCAAGAGCTGGTCGATCCCTTTCAAACAGCTCCCTTCGCTCGTGAGATACCACTCGCCCGTGAGAAATGCGGGTTTCATCAGGCCAACCACTCGGGTGCAAGTTACATGGGCAAGTCTGCGGACCCCTTCCCCGGCAAACATCCTCAGCCTCGTGAAGCTTGGGTCACAGTTCCCACCCGCATGGCACCATTCCAGTTGGAACCCAAAAACCTCATAGGATCTCATACCCTCCTCCATGGTAAGGACCTTTACCGGAGCCCTCATAGGTTTTTCATGGACCATCGGCCTGCCAAGGTCGTCCGGCTCTCCGTCCGCAGGGAGGGGTACGGCGTCGCCTTGGCCTGAGAGTACCTGGACAAGGCTGGGACTGTCATGAGTTTCATATGGCTGTGGGTCAAAAATACGTACCCAAAATGGAACCCTGGGAAGTGGAAATATGGACCAAAACCTGCTGTCCCCTTGTGGTTTAATTTTGACCCATCCCCATATTTGAATTTTAACGGTTGTGGTTAAACATATAGATTTTCATCCACTGCGAGGGAAGATTTGTCAATGACATATAATAGTTTTGTAGCAAGTTGGAACTACCTCAGAGCTTGGTCGGTTGAATCCCCACCGATTTTGGACGTCCAGTTCGGGCCAGTACAATTCGTTGCCACATGAATGCGTTCAAAGAATTCATGCATCCTTTGGTGCAGAAACTCCGGTGGGCAGCCGCCGGGTCTTTGGGCTGATCTAATGGACACAAAAAGGCAACAGCTGAAAGGGGTCGCTCAAATGGCTGGAGCCAGGATGGTTTTGCATTTGCCAGTTCAACCGACTTCACAATTTCCCAAGCGATTTCTAGGACTTGAAGTCGCGGTCCAAGCTGACATTTGGGGCACGCAGTTCCTCGGTTCAATTGGATCATAGGAGTTCCATTGAGTAATTGCGTTTTATTGGCGGCCCTTGGTGGACATCATTTGTGGGGATTTATGTCCACCAATAGGAGGTTGCTCTCACGCTCACGTTTAAAAACGCCACCAGCATAGACCCCAAATAGCATTGAAGACTTGACCCTCTTGTGCACTGCCTCCCAGGCTCCCGCACGTACCGCCCACACAAGTTTCCATGTGCATCGCTTCATGTGTAGCACCTGCGCGGGTTTCTGCGCACACCGCCTTGTATTCCTGCACTCCTGCACGGATTTTCGCGCACACCGCCCACACGACTTTCCGTGCGCACCTCCCACAGTGTACTCCTGCGAGTTTCCATGCGTACTTCCCACGTGTGTTTTGGCAAACCGTCGCGCCACCTGTTGCACTCGGATTCTCGTGCGCGCATCCGGCACGGATTCCCGTCCGCATAGGTTTGCGTGCGCACTTCCTACACATGTCTCCACGCACGCCTCCCGTATTTATTCCTTTGTACCTCCCATGTGTTTCCGCACACTTCGTCTTGTACTGCCAGTCACCACCAGCACCCTGACCAGCACCCTGCCAGCACCCCAGCACCCTCACTGCAGCGCCGAACAAGCACCGTCAGTCACCACCAGCACCCTGACCAGCTCCCTGACTGCACAGCACACCAGCAGCTCCCTGACCAGCACCCGCAGACCCCACCTAGCCCGATTTCGTTGAACAACCCC